AACTTGATTTTGGGGTTTGTGATCTAATGTCTCCGACCTTACGGTGGCCCAAGACAGTTCAGTCCATTCATCAAATATTTATTTATTAACTAACTGTAGCAAAGCTCGGTGAATGATTACATCCCTATAGGCTGTCTTGTACTAAAGCCTCTGGTCTACTAATCAAGACAAAATGACAAGTGTAGCTTATAGGTAGGAATGCTAGTTGTTGCTGCCCTCTGGTGGTTGGGAGTATTAATAACTAGATACATTTGTTGCCCCACAGCACCCCGAAAATAATAAGATATTTAAAAGTAGCAGAAGTTACTATCTTTAGTAACTAGTCACTACTGGAGGATTCACCATGACCATGTTAGCCAGACACAGCATTCTGTTAGTCGCTCAACATGGTTTGGGTGACTTAGCGTTCCTGCTGGGTTGTGCGTGAAATCAGTGATCTTTTTTAAACTAGGCCGAGTTACAATAACGCTAACCTTACCACAACGGCACCTCTCGCACCAACTGAGACTCCGCCAGTGAATGTATACCATTTACAGCTGCGACCAATGATTATTTTCATTATGGATCAGTCTTTCTGAATTAACTGATTAGTTTAGTCCATAAAATGTAAGAAAATGGTAAAGATGTTGATCATTGTTTCCCAAAGTCCATGGTGACCTCCCCAAATGTATGATTTTGTCCACAATGCAAAGATATTAAGTTTATTGAAAATATTCACATTTGAGAAGCTGAAACCAAATTTTTTTTTAAAAATGACTTGAAGCGATTAATCAGTTATTAAACTAGTTGGCAATGAATTTCATAGTTGACAACTAATTGATTAATTGACCTATTGTGTTTTCAGCTGCATGCAGTGTCTCCTCTCTTTTCTTTCAGTAAAGATAGTACATGTAATTTGTTACTTCCACCCATGCTTACAGCTGTGCACTATAAATTCTCTCTAGTCTCTATTGCATTGTTGGCCCATGTACCACTGTGTCTCTCAGCATCTGCTCTGCTCGCTTCCGTGACGTCTGTGTTCGTGTGGGTGTTTTGCACCTTCTTCATTGACAGACAGTGTAATGATGCCCTATGGATGAGTCCCGCTGGGTCTTCTCACACTGCTAGAGAATGTCAATCAGCTGCCCCTCCGCATGGCCTCTTTCCTCACCTGTCTCTCCCTATTCTGTGTGTGTGTGTGTGTGTGTGTGTGCATCTTCCTTCACACATGTACATCTGTATGATTGTCTTTCTGTTGTGTCATTTTCTTGGCAGGTTTAGCGAAGCCCATGGGGCTAGTTGAAGGACCCGGAGGCCTTGGCCAAGGGGGAGCTGCTGCCACTCTGGGAGAGGACAGTCATGATGCCGAGGGGAAATACGAGGAGTACGGTTACAACGCTCAGCTCAGTGACCGCATCTCCCTGGACAGGAGCATCCCTGACTACAGGCCTAAAAAGTATATCCACCTCCTGTTTCTTCTTATTTTCTGTCATGTACATTCTCCTTCCATCTACAGCTCTACACCTGTTTTTCCCCCTGGCGGGGTTGTATAATTTTAGAGAAACTTGTAACTGGAACGTTTGCCCATTTAATCCCTGCTGCAGTTGATGGGCTCTATTTTTGTGAAGGCACACAATGTACAGCAGGACTTTTTGCCAGGAAACTGGCGTTTTCATCAAGCGCACAGTGTTTTTTTCATCTCCTCCTTCTCTTTTGTGTTTATTGGTATTTTGGTGACTCTCCAGGACATTTACTGTGCTAAAATAGTTGAGTTGCAGTACAAGGTGAGTCAGAAATAATAAGCTGTGCGGTTGAAGCGTGGAGTTGAGGATTACTGGAATTTACAAGAACTTCTTGCAAAGCTCAGACAAGGTCAAAAATGCATGCCATACTCGTGATATTTTTATGCTTTTGATAAGTGATTCTGAAAAGTTTCTTTTCCACAATTCTCCAACTCTACTTGGATTTAATTCCTTTCACAGACATATGAGAAAATCTGATATAGACACAGATATTAGCAGTGTGAACAATTGTGATCCAACAATGAAATGTCAGTATGCAGTTGGTGGGGATGCACTCAGTGAGACTTACTTTGTCCTCTACAGGTCTCTTAAGTCTGATGCAACATAGTACCCAAATTAGCTTTCTCCTTTATTTAATTCAAAGTGCTGTATGTCATCCTAATGTCTTTATCTTTATTCAAGACTTAGCATGTAAAACACTGGGCCCAGTACCTGCTGCTGAGATGTATGGAATGTCATATGGATCAAAAACTGACTTTCATTCGATCCATATTAAACAAAGAAATGCAAATGTAAATTTAAATGGCTTCCAGCAGGGGACATTCCTGCACACCTGGTGGTTTATGACATCAATTTTACACTGGCTGCCCTCAACTTTCCATTGGCACATGGTATGTTGTAAACTTGTGCCAACCAAAATGACATGAGTCACAGAGCAGTACATTTAAGAAGTATGAATACATTTATTTTGTGCTTGGAGCTAAATTTTCACTCTCTCTCTCATATTTGGCATCCATTTTACAATGGTCAGCATTAAGTTTGTTAGCAGGTAACATCAGCATTTTTATTGTTTGTGACCCTCTTGGTGTTCAATAGAGCAGCCTTTCTGCTCCAGTGTCCCTGATGAAATGTGCATATGTGAGATATTATGCAAAGTTGACTCTCCCTCCACTTCTCAGAACTTGCTTCTCCTCTGTGCCTCCTCATTAGGGAGACTCTCGAGGGACCGCTACGACCTGCACATAGTGGGTCACATGACCCTTGGGAATAACAGGCTAGCACTACCACTAGCAAGCTAATCTGCTAGTATGTTTACTGCTGGCTGATCACTATTTCTTGTTCAAGCTAATATTACAGTGTTGTTTTTTTATAGACCACACTGGCTGTTGGTTAAACAATGTGGTTTTAGAAAAAAATAAAAGAGGGACACATTTCAGTAAGTTTTTTTTACAGACCGACACATCAGAATAGTTTAGAGAACATTTTTTGTTAAAAATTACTGCAATACAGTAACTGCGAAGTAAGTTAAAAGTTGAAGAAATCCTTAAATTTGTTTTTTCATCATCATTATATGTTTCCATATATAACAAGGTTAGCTTGCTACAAATCTGTATTCAGTTTGTTCTCTCATAATCATTTTCAAATTATCACAATTTTGCATTGATTACGTTTAAATTACAGTGATGAGGCACTGTTTTGTTAAAACCGAATTGAAGTGAAAGAAGAGTGAAACGCATCAGGTTGATTAACAAGCTGCACCGCCGTTTTCCCTTTGCTGTAGAGAGACTAATTCATCCCTTTCTGTCAATGCATTACAGTCATTTTGCCGCAGGGCATCTCAGGGCCTTGGTCATGGGGAGTCATACAAAAGAAAATGATTTAAGACACGGCTAATCCCAACATGAAAGGGCATGGACAAGATGGTGGTGATAGTTAAAGAGCTATGTTATAATGTTGCAGTAAAAGGAATCTTGAATTACTTTATTTTTTATGAAAGAGACCCAGTGGACACCCAACAAGCAGCCTTAGTGGTCCTTTTAAAATAAATTTTATATTTAGGCAGTGAACTACAGCTGTGATGGAGTGAGTGCTGCAGGAGATGGATTGGGATGATGGGGTGGGGGTGTAATCAGGGCTGCCAGTGGCGTTTATATCACACAGTGTCAAAGAACAATGGCAACAGGCAGAGACACTGAGAGGAAATCTGACGGCCAAGAGAGGTTTCGAAGGGCTTTAGTGGGGATAACAATTCATTTCATCCATGCTGCTTTGTTCTGGGCTCTTTTTTTTTTCACACCCAGAAAAAATTAGACAAGAGTGGAACGGGGAGGGGGAAGGGGGAGTAAAAAGGAGCTCGCTAATTAATAAAGTCAGCTGAGAGTGCCTCTGGAATGGAAGGGTTTTAGGAAATTCCTTTCTTTAATCAACTAGTTCAACAAAAAATGTGAAGAAGGGCAAAAGGGAAGTGAGTTTTGCGGGTTTGCTGAAGTGGTTGTATCCGGTTTTAAGTGGTGCCGACTTTGTTATGAGTGTTTGTGTATAGATTTAGTGTTAGTTTCAAAGGTTGTGACAAGATTCTGCAGTCCCCTTATACACTCTGTTATATGTTTCCTCCTTCTATCTGACCTTTGTCTCTTTGTCCAGGCAGTGTGTCAATTTCTGACAAACAACATATATTTTTGTGCCAATATAAATAAGCACACAAAACAAAAACAAAACAAGTTGTGTCAAACTAAGTAAAGCTTCAGTCTATGACAGGCATTCAATAGGTACACTGTATGATACAGACTTTGTACATTTATTGTGAAACTCAATGGAAATCAATACAATAGAAATTGCAAACATAGTTTTCTTTGTTTTTTCTTTTTCACATCACTGAAGCAGCACTTTAATGAACAAGAGAAACATCAAAGCACTGCAAGTGAAAGAACTGTTCCCAGAAGGAAAATTGATGTGCATACAGCCAGTACAATGCTGTAACTGCCAGTGTTGTTGTGGCTCTAGTGAGGACTTTAGGGGTGCCTTTATGCCTAACCTGTCTGGTTCAGTTTAACCAAACTCTGCTGCATATTTCTAGGAGATTTGACAAGTTAAAGCTCGTATGAAAGCTGTCAGTCAAACTCTGGTGTGGCCTGTGATCTAGTACTTTTGTGGTGTTGAATGAAAATGGACCAACCACAGATAGACAGCAGCAGTTACGTACGATATGATAAAAGCTAAAATCTTTTAAATCTGGCTGTGAACTGTCAAGGAACGGATCTCATAAGCAATCTGTATAGGCAACGTACTGTATATATTTATGAAGAAAAAATCCTTGTAACCATGGTAACATGTCAGCACGTGAGTGTGGGTTGAAACGTAATGATAACATAGCAACTATTCCCATGTGATATTTTCATCCTGGTCTTTGGTGTTCATAAGAGGAAGCTGAGTTGCAGTCTAATAATGCTCATAATGAGTAATTTCTTGAACTCTTTGTGACACCAGAGAACATTAATCTACATTTAAGGTTCAGTAAAGTGCTGCATGACTTCAGTCACCAGAATTTGCTCTCCCCACGTGGGTCCATGTGGCGCTACAGATGATACAGTATGACAGTCGCCAACACTGTCCAATGAATGAGTTACCTGTCAGCTCATATAACTTCATGTTTACAGCTCTTGGGTCATTTATATCACCAAATGAACTGAACTACAGGTGTGAAAGTGCCCTTGGTCTACCTGCTGTAGCTCTCTGCCTCATACAATATAAAAGGCGGTTACATATTTCTGATTTCTAATTCTGATTCTGTAATTGTGTCCTGCGGGCAAAAGGTGACTGGAGCACTGCAAAAGTGAGGTTAAATTCAGAAACCAGTCAGACTCCTGTCTAATGGGCTTTTAATTGAACAGGAGTCATTGAGCCGAGGACTTTGATGACTACAGGGAAGCAGTCCATCGCCATGACCGAACGGTCTGCACATTCTCAAATCTCTCTTTTCAAACCTGCCTGTCTGCAGCAAAACCAATTCATAATGATTACAGCCGCAATTGTCTCTCGCACAAAAACCTGTAATCCCCTTTAACCACCCGCTAGCCTGTATTTCTCTCTTGTGCCCTTCACTTCTGCAAGTGACATTCTTAACTGAGATACCATGGGACTTAAGTAGGCTCTATATTATGGTGACTCTGAGCCTGCCATTCGCTGTCCTTGGGAGGCTTAGGTATGATAACAGCTCATTGGGCTGTGGAGAGAAAAACAATACAGGTAGGCAAGCTGATAAGATTACTGATGCCCACAAAAGAAACTAAAAGATGTTAAATGCAACTTGGGTCACTCATAAATAGAAAAATGCAATTCACGACATGAAACCTGCTTTTCGCCCTCCATTTCTCCTCCTCTAAGAGGATTCTTATTCAATTACACCTAATCGCACCTCTATCTCTATTGTCACTTTGCTGAAGATTTGATTTATATTTTGTCAAAATCGTTGTTAAACCCAAAACTATATTGAAGCACAGTAGATTCTCTGCTTTCCCAAGGACCCTTTGCCTTCTGTTTGTCAGCCTGTGGGAGGGTGATAACCAGAAAAGGAGGCTGAAGAAACAGGCTTACCTCATCTCCTGAGCGTCTGATATTGCAGAATGGGATCGTAAGGTCTCCACGGTGCGGGAGCTTCTGCTGCAAATTGTTGCTCTTTCCAGTGCTAGAGTTTATCTCCTGGATGGGGGCTGGGGTAGGGGGGGCGGGCGGAGAAATGACAAGGCAAACGATTATCTTTCTGAGAGGAGTGCTCGCGGATTGGAAAGTTGCTTTGGTGTTGCCTGCACTGCATGGGTTACGGAAGGTTAATGTAAAATTTCACAGCAAATAAGAGTGGCCAGCGGGGAAAAAGCCAGAGGGAGCAGCCAGGGCTGCAGGCTGGTGGAGGAGGAGAAGGGGGAGGTGTGATAGGAATGCATCTTAATCTGGCGCTCTGTTTCTGTCAAAGCTGGTTCCGGGTCAAATTATGAGCGGTGTCCAGTGAGCTCAGTCCCATTACAAACAGATGAGTCGATCGCTCATCCTGTTACGGCTTTACTAGGCTTCCCCGCTTCCGCAGACAGGTACAAATTTAAGGCTGAGCGATGCCCTAAATTGGATCCAGTAACTAGGGCAATGGAACTACAATATCACTTTACGATCCCGACACTGAAATCCAGCCTCACACCACATCTCAACTAGAAGCGACGAGGGAATGAGCAATGCCATGCCCCCTCTGACATTTTCAAGATATTACTTTGGTAATATTCATTAAACTCAGCCTCTCCACTAGTCGTATAACTGAACATGAGTGAAATAAACATTACTTTGTTTTGCACAGTTGACATGTCATGCTGTGTCTCTGCAAAGGCACACCGGGGTGGAAAAAGTCCCCCCTCAAACTCACTGCCAGATTTCTCATTGTATTTATAGACCTGGCAAGCCTGATTGAGAGAGGCAATAGAGAAAGCTGCGAGAGGGAACAAAGGAGTTGCTGAGGGAGAGCATAAATGCATGGGGAAGGCCCGAAATGATACAGTGGAGGGGTTATCAATCAAAACACTTGTGCATTTACTCTTACGAATAGAGCGCCAGAGCAGGGCTTAAAGTATAGATAGACGTACACAGTGTGCTCCATCATAAACACTCTCTGTGGTTTAGTTTTCCTTTTATTACCTCTGCTGTCAGATGCATGTGGGCTGCGGTAATGGAAGTGATTGATAACAGTGCATGAAATTAAGCTTTCCCAGTCCAGAACAGCAAGCACTTGCCTACTTGGCCAGTGAGACTATAGGCAGCAGATTGTCATTCCTGTGCATGAATCAATGCCAATATTTACTGAAGGTGTCGTGTAGGAAAAAGTAATGAAGTGTCTGAGTGCTTCTTAGGCAGTTACGTCTATTATATTTCAACCACCTCAAAATCTAAAGTGTCAATATCTGAGGCTTATCTCTGCACCAGTTGCCATAGTGTCGCACAAAGCAGAGATTCAGGCAGAATTCCAACTAGTCAACTGATGACAGTAAAAATCTTTTTATAGTAATATTGGATCACTTATGTATGTATGTAAAATGGGTTGCTTATGGTGATGAACCCATAATCTTGCGAATCCCTCAGCTCCAAAGCTTAAAGCTTCTTTCAGCATTTTGTTCCATTATTTTTGTCTCGCAACTCTTAAGGTAGTTTTTGACCTAAAACCACTCTGTGCTACCTGTCCAGGTATTTCTCTCAGGAGTTGGTGGCGACCAAAACGGAGCTAAAAGGAGAGTGAATATTGGACCTA